AGTCAGGTGAGTGGATTGCTACCTGGCTGCTGCGATGCTGGGATAACGGGGCCAACAGTCAGCAACTGGAAGGGAAAGCAGTCCAGCAGCTGGGATTCCTTGCTAGAAGCCGGGGAAGAGAGAGAGGACTTGGAAAAGAGGCAACAATTTGCAGTCTCTGGAAACAACTCCTCTTCAATGTGAGGGCAAGATACCCATTGAAGGAAGCTCTTGTGAACTCCCCAGAAAAGTGGACTACGGCAGATGAAGGCATCCAGTACCTGAGAGATTTATCAGTGCTGGATGTCATCTACAGCGATCTTGATGATGATAAGGTCTCCAAAGATTCAGAGGCTGTCCTGTGTACACGGGCCATGTGGAGGAAGGTGATTGAAAGTGGCCCAGCATTGTATTCGAACAGCTTGGCAGCAATGTATTGCCCAGAAACAGATACACCAGCTGTGGAGGGAGTGTCTTCCGGGCTCCAGAACTTTGAAGAATGTGTCTGTACCTCCTCATCTGTACGGGAGACTCTCTTGGGTGTCAGGGCCACCCTAAGACATTGGTCCTCTCCTGGCCCGGCCAGAGGCAAAGCGAGACCCTGACACATGCCGCGTGGTGCACTCTGGTTCTTCCTGCGTGACCAGGTACATGATAAGAGGAAGTTGGATGGTGAACCCACCTGTAAGCTGAGAGTCCGTATATGCAAACCGAGGGGGAAGATAGCTGTTAAGAAAACGCCACCCAAGAAGGCTGCCAGCATAGTTGCTGTTGAGACACAAGAAGGCCATCAGCGATCTCCCAGACACAGAAGACCTGAAATCAGCTCTCTTGATGCTAGTGAGGGGACTTCTGGTGTGCCTCTGCAAGGGCAAGAGAGTGAGTATTCTGACCAGGATCAGGACTAGAGGGTCCCTGTCTTCGGCCAGGAGTAGGAAAGGGATGGCCAGATATACCGGACTGTGTGGATTTGATGGCCTGGCATATCAGACCCACAGAAGTATAAGGCTTTGGTAGACACTGGTGCACAGTGTACGCTGATACCATCAGGGTATAGGAGAGCAGAACCCATCTGGATCTCTGGAGTGACAGGGGCGTGCCAATAAATGTCTTTGTTGTAGGCTGAGGTGAGCTTGACAGGGGACAAGTGGGATAAGCACCCCATCGTGACCGGCCCAGAGGCCCCTTGTATTCTTGGTATACATGACCTCAGGAGAGGGTGTTTCAGGGCCCCAAAGGGGTACTGATGGGCTTTTTTGAGGTGGAGTCAAAGGCAGCCAAGTGGTGTTCTACAACTGACATTGCCAATGAGGTTTTTTTCAATTCCTTTGGCAGCAGAGTGCAGGTCACAGTTTTCTTTCATGTGGAGGGATGTGCAATACACCTGGAACTGACTGCCCCAGGGGTGGAAACACAGTCCTACAATTTGTCATGGACTAGTGCAAAGCGAAATGGAAAAGGACGACTCCCATGTTCATCTACAGTGCATCGATGATTTCACTGTGTGGGGCAAAACAGCAGATGAAGTTTTTGATAAAGGGGAGAAAAAAATCCATATCCTTCTGAAAGGTGGTTTTGCCATAAAATGAAGTGAAGCCGAGGGAGATGCACAGGAGATCCAGCTTTTAGGAATAAAATGGCAAGATGGGGATCGTCAGATCCCAATGGATGTGCTCAACAGAAGAGCAACTATGTCTCCACCAACTAGCAAGAAGGAAACAACAGGCTGCTTAGGTGTTGTGGGTTTTTGGAGGATGCCTATCCCAAGTTACAGTCAGATTGAGCACAGCAACCAGTGGATGGTTGGAAACACATCCTGTGCTGCATGCTTTAGGTGTTGTGGGTTTTTGGAGGATGCCTATCCCAAGTTACAGTCAGATTGAGCACAGCAACCAGTGGATGGTTGGAAACACATCCTGTGCTGCATGCTACCAGCTAGAACACTATGCTGGGCCTTGAAAATTAATTCTATGGTGGCATGGCACTGTGGAAGGAATGGAGTCAGATGATGGGACTCATTTCCATAAGAACCTCGTAGAGAGCTGGATGATGGCATTGAGTGGGTGTGTCACATCCCTTGTCATGCACCAGCCTCCAGGCAAAAAGAAACGATACAATGGACTGCTAAAAACTACACTGAGAGCCCTGGGTGGTGGAACCTTCTAACATTGGGACTCACATTAGCAAATGCCACCCGTTCAGTTAACATCAGGGGATCAACCAATCGAGCTGGCCCTGCCCAGTCAAAACCTTTCCATGCTGTAGAAGCAGATAAAGTCCCTGCAGTGCACCTGAGGAATATGTTAGGGAGGACCATCTGGGTTAGTCCTGCCTCAGGCAAAGGCAAACCCACCCATGGGACTGCTTTTGCTCAAGGAGCTGGGTGGACTTGGTGGGTAATGTGGACGGATAGGGAACTCCGATGCATACCTCATGGGGATTTGATTTTGAATGAGAACAGCCAATAAATGAATTGTATGATGTTAATTGCCAGATAACCATGCCATGGTATGTTCTCAGTACTATAGTTGCTATATGCCATGTCAATGTTATTGCAGTCAGAGTCATCCAAATTAATAAAGGATGAGGTCTGATAAAACCACTCATGTGCTCCAGAGGCAGCAAGTGACCTTCCAACACTACAAGATATCTCTCCTGCCCTGGAAGACTGTTCCAACAGATGGAGAACAACATCAGGCAGGAAGTGAACTCAACGGACATTTCAGAGGGACGGTGCATTGACCAGGGGAATGATATCTCTGTGTGTGTGTGTGTGTCTGTACATATAAAAAGTGATAGTAGTAAATTGGAAAGTGTGGACCCTGCGCCTGAGGTAGATGGTATAGAATACGGGGCGGATGATGTCCTGGGCTCAGCTGGGATAGGGTAAATTCTCACAAGAAGCTGGCTGGTGAAGTCATGTTCATTATTGAAGTGGAGAGCTCGCTGAAGAAAGGGGATTTGTTACTCAAGAGCAAGATTAGCGTTGGAAGGTGAGAACATTGCATGCTGCGTATTCTCTTCGTCGGTATTGTTCTTTTCTTCTCCCTTTTCCATTCTGTTGAACTGTTCTTAGCACAACCAAGGAGTTTTGTCTTTTCCTTCTGATTCTGCTTCCACTGGGAAGAGAGGAGGAGTGAGAGAGTGACTGCGTGGTTCTTTGTTGCCAGCTGAGGCCAAACCACATCAATGGTACAGCACAGCACGGCATGGCACAGCGTGGCCCCAGGCAGCACAGCGTGGCACGGCAAGAGCAGGCAGCCCCTTGGCCATTTACGCTGCACCCCAGGGATGGTACCAGGGAGCGCTTGGCACAGCCAGGGTGTGCAGCCCCCCCACCCACTCACCCCGCACCCTGGCACAGGACACATGGGCAGACCCCATTTGGGTGCTGCCCCCAGCCTGCCCTTACCTTCCTGGCAGCAGCGGCGTGGGGACTGAGCA